AATTGGAGTGCTTGTTGGCATCCCAATCATCCTCAATATGTTGTGGAGGCTGCGCCTTTCAGATTCCTTTCTCGCCCTACTTTCGCGAATATTTGGCTCCCTCAAATTATGAAAGACTACCTAACATCATTTGAGTGGAATTTTTTACTATGAATAGCTCACTTTCTAGAACTTCCATTCGCGAAAATAGGGCTGCAATCATTCCAGATTCTGTATCTTCCTTCTTAGCAGCTTATTCTCCCTTCGTCCTCAACCTAACTTCCGCCGACTCTATCGGTTTAACACTAATGCTCTGTTTACCCTTGTTCTTTTTCAACGTATTTTTACCATTTGTCTGCATCTTAGGGTTTAACCCCTCAGCAGCAACCATACCCTGTACCAGGCGTGAGCACTCGAGCGCGAATGTTTCGCACCGTTCACATACCCACTTCAGATTCTTGTTCTGGTCAGGTCAGGTTGCACAGTACTGATGATGGCCACGGCCAATCGAGCGTCCAGATTTCTTCCGGCAAAATGCTCACAAGATGTGCACCCACCACTACGAATTGCCTTCAGTACGGCGTCCTTGCTGAAAGGGAAAAGAAAAAGCTCGTCTCAGTTCAGTTCGGTTCAGTTCCAGGACGTTGACGGCGGTGTGCCAGTTAGTCCAGTTTCTTGCAGCGGTGGGCTCCAGGGATCCCCCGATGCTGCGACAGACGGAAGAGGGAGATGACTCTTCTTCAATTTTGCGATCACAAACTTCAGGAGAGTTGGGTGTTGACCTCCCACTCTCGCACCACATTCCGGTCACGCCTAATGGATCAGAGCAGCAGACCCTGACATCGGCATCAACCAAGTTACAACTCCGGCCGAAAGAGATGGCGAGTTCTAGTGGTAAGTAATTGATTGGGTAATGGTGACGGCATGGGGATATGGTATGGAAAGAATAGACGGTAGCAGTAATGGCTAAAGAGTGAGAGAGTAAGTGAGTGAAGGTCGGGGAGAACGAGGGAGTGGAGCTTCCGGACAATCACGTTGGTTGTGCGGCTCCTTAGGTGAAAAGGCCTTGCCATACGGCGTCCAGGCGGGTCTCGAATCTCTTCACCGAACTGGAATGGACTACTTCATAAGGTCTCCTTCATTAGGTCTCTCCTCATTAGGTCGTCTCCTTTCACCTCATCGGCGAACAAGGGACATGGGTCATGAAGGCGTTCTACATTACAATAAAGATCCTACTCTGGAAAGAGCTCCAACCATCGCTCATCCAGGGCGCGCTTAAATGCGGTCATACTTCTTAAATCTACCAAGTCCTTTGGCAACCGGTTCCAACTGTTCACTACTCTGTTGCTGAAGAAGCTGGATCTAACAACCAGTTTGCAATGCTGCTTATGGAGTTTATACCCATTCCCTCTAGTTCCTTGATGGATAGCCTCTTGGAACATACTCTCTTTCCTTACTCCCGAGAGCCCTTTTACAATCTTGAAGGTCTTCAGTAAGTCTCCCCTTAGTCTCCTCTTTTCTAACGAGAAGAGTCCCAAGTTTTTTAGCCTGTCTTGGTATGACTTACCCTTTTGGCCTTCAAGAATTTAAGTGGCTAGTCTTTGAACTTTCTCTAAACAGGCTGCATTCTTTTTGAGGAAGGGTGCCAAAGCCTGCACGCAGTGCTCCAAGTGCGGCCTAACTATGGCTTTGTACAGGGGTAGGTATACGGCGGGTTTCCTACACGATAANACTTGAGCCTGAACAGCTCTCTCCTCGCCCTCGCTGCAGCCAGTACGCACTGGTTCTCCCAGCAGAAATCTGCCGCCATTGATATTCCTAAGTCTCTGCTGGTTTTTACAATCCCTGCAGTGAAATCCCCTCCACCTAAAATGGATTGACAACTGTTCATCAGCATGGGAAAGTAAATTACTTTTCTCTGCATACAGTGGGAGGTCCCATACTGTTGCCCATTCCGTTGCTCTACGCAGGTCGTTCTGTAATTGCTGCCGACTGGCTGATCCCACGATCTTGACATCATCTGCGAAGATGAAAGTAGGATGGCAGCCAAGTCGTCTATAAAAATGAGGAACAGTAGGGGACGAAGCACTGAGTCCTGTGGTACTCCACTAGTGGGTATGGCTTTGGCCGATACTTTGTCTCCAATCCTCACGTAAAATGTACGACCGGTCAGGAATTCCCTAATCCAGGTATGTATCTGCTCCCCTATCCCTTTGTGTTGGAGCTTAGCTAACAGAAACCTGTGATTAACGGAATCAAAAGCTTTGCACAAGTCTAAATAACATACCTCCACAGCTTTGCCCTCATTTAACCTCAAGGTAACCTCATCTAAAGTAAACAGTAAATTAGATAGGCATGATCTACCCTTGGTAACCCCGTGCTGTTGGTCAGTAAGCAGTGAGTTATGGAGTAAATGCTGTGCAATGTGCGTCCTTACTATCCGTTCTAGGCACTTGCACAATATGCTCGTTAGGCTCACCGGCCTGTAATTCTTAATCTGGGATTGTGATCCTCCCTTGTGAATGGCAACAACAGCAGCTGTTTTCCAATCCCTCGGTAGCTTGCCCTGGTCTAAACTGCCTTGATACAAATCCCTTAGCGGTCCCGCTACTATGCCCGCGATCGGCTTGATGATTGCCGGGTGCATTCCATCGGGCCCTGGAGATTTCCTTACGTTCAGCTCCGTTAATATCCGATGATCCACTTCTAATGACACATACATATTCTCCATTTCCTCTGATGAGGAGGCGAGATCCGGTAGTGCCAGATCGGCGCGATCTACTCGATGCACACTACTGAAGTATGTGCAAAAGGCGTCTACTTTTTCCTGGTCATCGGTTACGGTTCTACCTTCCAATTGTAGAGGTCCCATCATCCTTTTATTGGGACCTCTGGCTTAAGCGTAGCTGTAGTAGCGTTTCTGCTCTCTCTTGGCTCGGCTGGCTAGTTTAAACTCATAGTTCCTTTTACCCTTTCTAATGAGCAAAACAGCTTCGTTACGGTGTCTCGTGTACTACCTCCAAGCCATCGAGAAACCGGAAGCTCGGAAAGCTTTCCAGCTCCTATTTCTACGTCTAATTGCCCTACCTACAGCGGCGTGCCACCATGGAGGCTTCTTCCTTGAACCTTTGTAGCTTAAGGGAGCAAACTCATCTTGGAGGTTCCTCAGGTTGTTTCTGATTTTACTCCAGCTTTCCGCTACGTTCGCGTGCTCTCCGAACTGTGCCAACTCAGTTGAGCTGCCTTAGCTTGGAGTAGATTCACGTCAATCCTTCCAGTGTTCCAACACATCTCTTCACGGGGTTTGGCAAATTTCAACTGGAGTGTCCTCTTGATGAGAAAATGATCACTTTTACCGGTAGGAGGGTGATACTCTAGACTTTGTTCTTCTTCCTCCTGCACTGTGATTATCAGGTCCAGCAGCGACGGTTGTTGGACTTCCCGATACCTGGTGTTCTCCTTCACGTGCTGATATAGGGCCTGGGACTGAATCCATTCGAGGTAGATTTCGCCTGAACCTCGAGGACACCTCCCGAGCTCCCAGTCACCATACCTAAGATTGAAGTCACCCATAACGAACAGTCTGGTCGAATTTCGAGCCAAATTGTCTAGTGCCTGGATAGTCTGTTGGTCCTCCGAATGCGTGGCACTAGGACCCCTATACACGCAGGCGATGGACATTTTTCTGCTATTTTAATAAGATCCACTGCAACTAGNGTAGAAACCTTAGTATTCGATTCTACCTAGCATAAGTGGGTTCTTAGTAGCATGGCTGCTCCTCCACCCTGTACAGAGCCACCCCTATCTGTTCTGTAAGTACCAAAGTTATGCTGAACTATACTAGGGTTAGGATCACTCTCTGAGAGCCAGGTTTATGTTATACCTACAGCGGTAGCCTTATGGGTCTCTGCTGCCATCAGAACCTCGGCCCATTTGTTTTTAACACTGCAAGTATTTGCGTACAGCAGTGTCATCCTCTTCTGTCGATTTCCTATTTCGAATTTCTCCTCAGGCGAAGAA